TAAACATGTCATAACCTATCAATATCATCTGCACACTACCATACATATCTACATAATGAATATCACAAAAATCATCCCAAACATAGTATAAGTGGCTTTTTATTAAATAGAACTACTTTATGGCTACTGGCTATGACATTATTAGTTGTTGTCATTCTTTTTTTTTTGTTATAAGAAGTAACTAATGTTTCATAATTTTTTTTATCAAACATTATTACTATAAAATATCTTTATCATACTTTTATTTAGAATGAATCAAAAGTTATTATTATAACATTAGGAATATAATTGTATCATATCAAAAAAATATTTTTTTTTAAAGTTTAGTTTATATATTTTTATTAATTCAATGCAATACTTTTAAAGGATGATATATATTTCATAATTAATTAAAATTTATTAGTAATTATATTTATTTTATTAAGAAGTAAATATATATATATATTCTTATTTCAATTTCAATTATATAAAGACTTGATTTTTTATTATCACAATTTCTTATAAATTAAAATGAGAATTTCAAATACAATATATTTTTGAATATTTGACTTTAACTGAAATCTAAAACAATAATGATTCAGTTAGTCTAAACTTAATCTATAACCATCGAAATTCTTTCAATATAGTCCTGATAGCCATTAAATAATTTGATTATTGCATAAACACATAATCAATGTTATTTGGCATAGCCCCATAAATCCATCTCTCCACGTAATGAAAGTTGATTAATTGGTGTAGATTCCTCAAACCTCCCATCTTTAGAAGCAGAGTCTTGAGTCCCAATATGAGAAGTAACTAGACGATCAAGCATGGCCCATTCACTCAGCCCTTGGTCATGTTCTCTTTCTGTATTAACCATTTGTATAGTTTGAGTAACTGGTTCACCACAGGTGCCAACCTCTAGACTAGGCTCGCAAGTTGTGGATGGATACCTAAGGCTTTCACTGCCGGTACTCTCACAATCTCTGGGGTTAGATGTCATGAGTTGTTTGAGCATAATAGATGAAGAGTCTGGTGCAGGCATATTTGGAGCTAAGTAATTGTGAGTTGGTATTTGGGTTTGTGATTGAAAGATAGAGTATTGATGAGGTGTTAAGATGTTATGGGGATAATGAAGGGCTAATTCATGCTTATCAAGTTCAAAACTTGGTTGGATTATATTATTAGTATTTTGGTGTTGACGTAACATATAGTGGTGATTATCTGATCTGTGCAAAAAGTTAGTGCGTTGTTGGTTTGTGTTTAATGAGTTGGTAAATTGTTGAGTATGATGGTCTAAGCCAGAGTTCGTGTTTGTCCCTCCTTCTGTTCCGTTGACCTTGAATAGATTTTTTTTCTTGAATACTCTACAAACAACCCATCCATCTTCCTACAAAATTCAAGTTAACATATAATATTTAGCAACATTTTGTTGTTTTCAAATAAAACAAAATTCTTAATGTGTAA